GTGCCAAAAGTCAGAAGCAAAAAAGCATTCCAAAAGCAAAAAAAAATCCAGAAGCAAAAAAAAATTATTTTATTTGACTTTTTTTGATATTTGGAAAACATATTTTCATTCTGATACTTAATGATTTGCTTGCGGCTTTCAAAATTTTGATTAATACTTTTGGCACAAATTTAATTCCATACGCCACCTGCTGGTGTAGTAATTAACTTCACCACACATGTGGATTTTTTCAGCTGGTGGACAAAAATCCACAAATAGGGGAGAAATCGCAAATGTCATTTCACTTTTACAAATTGCTCCGTATTTTTGTGGATATGATTTTACACAGCACAAATGAAATACATATTTGTGGATAGTAACATATTTGTGATTTTTTATTTTTTTTTACAGATCAGCTATGGTACGAAAGAGGAGCAAAGTCACAAATGTAATGTGATCCACAAATGTGCAAAACCCATTTCACGTGTACAGATCGCTCCATATGATTTTACACGATACAGATTTAGAAAATACATATTTGTGGATAGTGATATTTGTGGATCATGGTACATATTTGTGGATTGTCTTCTGTGGGTTACAAATAATACAGTCCAATATATACTTCCATACGCTTACACCACAAACATTTCATAAGCCATTTTGAATGCAAATATGTAAATGCATTCCCAGAACCCAAATTAATTTAAAATTTGACGCTTTTTGGTCCGACAACAAGGAATAAGTACTTACCTTTCACTGTATGGAAGTTCGGAAGTTCTAAAATATGGAAAACAATAAAAGCAAAATTTGCACAAAACTAAATGATGTCACTTTGTTTAAGAATGACGTCTTCAAAGGAAACATTTCAAGTTAAAGCCTTACGTCTTTTGAGTAGGACTAGGTGGGCTGAAAAGAATGAATATTTATAAAGAGTATTAGTAAAGTTCTGTACCTATGACAGTGTATATAGGCTTCCCTTGATTAACGCAATTAATCAATCCCCAGATGTCACCACGTTAATCAAATTGAATCAATCATAAAAATTGTATTTGCTTGACTATTGATTGATCTCAATATAATGAAGCATACGTAACCTATGCCTATATAATATAATACTCTTACATAATATGATGCTCTTGTAAGGAATGGTCCGTTTTGTCGACTTATTACAGGTCTCTTTCAATCTTTTACTCTGGCCACATTTAAATAGTTTAATGTCTAAAACAATCACTTTTCTTTTTTTCACTCGCCATTGTGGCATCACTCTTATTTTTAGACATAGTTAAGTGGCCAAATATTTTTTTTAATTTTAAAGAAAACAATCGGTTTGCTTTATAAACACGTGCGCTTTTAGTGCACTGACTGCGTATGTTGACCAAGGAGGTTGTTATAACCTCCGCCTCCTGTTTCACAACTGATGTATCGATTTTGGTAGTTTTGGGATTATGGTAACCTGTATTGAATATATTAATGGAAAATATAGGCTTCTATATAAATTCAAAGGCACAATAACAATTGTCTTTAAAAAAAACAAAAACATACAGTGTGTGTCTTCTGTTTACTTCAGAACCATCCAGGAATCTGAAAAGTAATAAAACGCATAGATTACAATATCACATGATACCTAAGACTGCATGACGATGGCATGAATCTTACATAGCTGGGTGAAGTCAGGCGACAAAGATTTTAATTGACCTCTGCTGCACGTTATTATTTTTCCTATTAATCTGGGTTCTGTTCTATCTCCATATAAGAACACACAACCAGACCCTGATTCTTGACTACACACCGTCCTCGAGCCCTTTCAACGAATGACAATTGTGGTAAAAGATATACCGTCTTTGTCTTCTCTTTGAAGGACCACTCCGCAATCTGAAAGGTAATAAAACATGTGGATTGGAATATTAAATGAAATGAAAATGAGACTGGATGAGGGTGGCATGGATGTTACACAGCTGGGTGCAATCAATTGACAAACACTTTTCCCTGACTACAGCTACACATTATCATTAATCATATGAAAGTAGGTTTTATCTCCATACTAGAACACGTATCCAGCCCCTAATGTTTGACCCTTTGACCCTTTCCAAGCAATGACACCCCCACTGTTTTCCTATGGATGTCTGAATGGGCGTCTTGTACTTGTTCCTCTCAAATTGTTTTATAATATCTATCTCCACTCAATATTCCACATATCTAATTTCATACTGTCAAATATCAGCTTCTCAGAGGTCACTTGAGTGCGATTCATGTAATTAAGCATGATTTACAGGGAACGAAGATAAAGCCTTACTTTTTTTGCACTGGAATATCTTGTGGGCTGAAAAGGAATTCAGAAAATGGTCATATAATAGTCAAGGGTTAAG